TTTAGAGTTATTGAAATCTATGACAAATATGACAGCTCTGTCTTCTCTCACAGCCTCCCGTTCTCATCCCCAGTGTCCTTCTCCTGTATCGCCTCCAGGCTCCGCTTTGCCTTTGCATCCACGTGCCCGCTTCCAGCTCGGCTGAGTCCACATGACAAGCACGCCAGCTGAATCTGCTTCATGTTCTCCAGAGCCTCGTTCTTGGCGTTCTTCAAGAGGTCTCCTTGTCCCTGCAAACACAAAGACAGGAGGAGAAAGTTAGGGCTCATACACACCGCCCCAGACCACAGGTGAGACCACTGCTCTCGTGGCCCTTCTGCACGGTGGGAGAAGACCTGCAGCCAGCCCGCAGGGAGGCGATGCAGGGAGCCTGAGGGAGCCCACAGCCAGGGGAAGGCCAGGCTACCAGCCACGGGGGCCTCAGGGCATGACTGCAGGCTGCAAGCTGCCTGTAGGAGAAAGGCCTTCCTGCAGGTAGCCTGGAGCATCTCAGTCAGGGCTAAGGTGAGGTGACTAAGAGGACATCAGTGCAATTTGTAACTATCAGGAAAAATGTCTTACGCAAAATTTGTATTAATGAGTTCAGAAATGCCAAAATGAATATTTATGGAATATTGATATCTCAAATGCTGTAAAGGAAACAGACTGTGACAAATAAATAAAAGCCAGGAGATGCTTCTCATTATTAAAATTCAGTGCTGCTAAGAACTTGAGCTGTTTGTCTCCTCGTGCCACCTGAAGTACAGCTTCAAGTACATCACTGTGTACAGCTGTTTATATGCATATTCAGAAGGAATAGCTATGCTGACTGAAAATGTCACATCCGCATCCATGCAACCTACTGCAACCTCCTGCCTACCACAGAGGCTTTGCAAGGTCTCAGAGGAGGCCACAGATGTTACGGCAAGACCCCAGGCACACCGAAAGGGTGACAGATCACAGACGCTCCTGCCATTTACAGAACGAACTAGCTCTGCTGGGGGAGTCAGCACGGCACCTTCCGGCAATGGGAGCATCTCTCAGTTCTGCCATTCTCCAAAGATAAGAGGAAGGATTTATCCCACACTGATGACCACAACTCCCTTTTTGCCAGTGCCTGGCACCGGACTTAGCACACAGCACTGCCGGAGTCCCTGTAAACAATGTTCTCAATGAAGAAACAATGGCAGCTTGCAAGTCCCTCAGCACTGATAAACACCACGTGGGGAACAAGGGCAGCCAGAGATAGCATCCGCGCCCGAGAACGTGATTGCATCATCTCCTAATGACATGAGTTTGTCCCGGCTGAACAATGTACATCACCACAGATGCGAGGAATGCAAGTTAATGCTAGAATAACAAAAAACATTGGGAGTCAGCGTGGAGCTGTGCTATTTGGTATGAAGCACTTTCGAAGAGATTTGTATCTCAACAGCATGACAGTTATGGGAATACATAAATAGCTTGGAATCCAGGGAGCAGACATGGTTTAGAAAAACAAAATAAGAATAAAATTTATGCAGCACATATTTCACATAGCTGTGATTTTGCTTTTAGGACAAAGGTTGAGTTTATGGTTAAAGGAATAGGCTGGAATCAAGAGCTCCATCTTTGTTTGCGGCACCCCAGACGCCTTGTCTGTAGATTGCATGGGAAGCATGCCAGTACTGGAGCAGCAGGGACAATACACCCCAGCATAGCTAAAGAGACTAAACAGCAGTATCATTAATGACACAGTCACGTTATCAGAGAAGGTGGTAGCTTCTTCATCACGCTGGGCTGGTTGTTCTTTCCTCGCCCACACAGGACTGGAGACATCAAAGGCTGCACCAACAAGCACACAAAATCAGTGTGATGATGCTTTACAGCCTTAACTTCTCGGAGTCAAAAACTGGCACTATGTAATCACACACAAGAAAGGAAAAATCCCCTTAGCACAAGTAACTCAAAATAGATGTTCCTCCAGCACTAGGAACAACTAAGCCCAAAAGCTGGTAGAGCTAGTGCAATAAAGATGAAATGCTGCTGCTGACTGTGAGGATGAGGGCCGAGTCCCCAGAAGTACCTGGCTTCCCCTTAGCTGGGGTGTCTATAGAAACACATCATGCTGCTCGTGTGTGGCACACGGAGGAGCATTCCCTGTCATGCAGCAGCAGCAGAAGATGGATACTGCTCCGTAGTTGACACAAGAAAAGCCTCAGTTGAGTCTATGTCACCTTCCTCATTTCTTCTCAGGTGAGGGCAAAGCATGGGAATCTTTCTCACGGTGGCCCATAAACTGGAGGGTCTCTCCAAGGGATTTGATACACCCCCATTTGGAGGATGAAAGGCTGAGTACGCCCTGCCAAGACTTGTACCCAAGAAGCCGAGGTACTTCACACCTACTGTGACAGTGCCGAGCCATCAGCTCATTCCCTTATGCATATTCTAATTTCACATTCAAATAACCAAGCAATTCAAGCAGCTCATAGGGAGCAGGTTTAGTCTGTGGCAATGCATGACACGTCTTCCGATTCCAAGAGCAAAAACACACTTCCTTAGCATACTTCCAGTATTTTGAAGACATTCTTATTTTACAGTGATTCTAAAAATGGAAATGGACTTACCAAAATAGAGTGTAATTCCATTCATGTGCAGACCAATTGATCTATGTCTTAGTTCCCTTGCATTTTTTTATTTTTAAACAGCTGGTTCATTTGAGCAAGCTGAAGGAGCAAAAATGATTTTGAATCATCTGTCACAAGAAAATTAATGACAAATCGACCCTCAGTGACAGAGCTGTCATAACTCTAGAGACACCATAAAAAATATCTGTGGGCATGCTCTGTTTGAAAAGCCATCTGTTTGCTTTGAAAAACTGGCTGCGAGCATAATCCACTTCAGAAAAATGTCAGCAAAATTGTGTCAACACCTTAGCAAACTAAATACTGGATAGAATCTGGAGTAAATTTTAGAAGTATGATTACACCAAAGCAATAAATCAGTCACTGTGAAAATCACCATGCAGAGAACAATTCACTTGCTCTCAAAAGCAAAGCATCTCTTTCAGACAAAGAGCCGTCACATCGGTCCATTCCGACACCTGTCCATCTATCTTCCTTCTACTATAGATATTATTAGCCTTTTTGAAAGTAAGTACTTGTGAAAAAGTTTAAACTCAACATTTGGCAGGAAACTAAATTAAGCCAAGAGATTAATCAAGTGTTGTACTTGAAAAACTAATCAAGACGCATATTTAAAGTTAGGGAATATTAAATGTCAGGTTTCATACACCCGACTACTACTAACCATGCAACTTCCACATGAATTAACATTACTGTACAAATAATACAGCTTGTCAAGTAAGGATAAGATTATGATTTAAGCCTTTACCTTGACAGGCTAATACTACTTAGAATACAGGAATTATTTGACACGGCTTTAAATATTGCTCAGTTTCAGTGACATTCCACGAAGGTTTTAAGAAGGATAAGAATAGTTCTAGATAGACATTGGCAATGACCACAGATGGGAAGAATTCTGTATGTTGTTTTTTATTATTTACAATTTTTGCAAAATCAAACCAGAACTTACGAGTTAAATCCAGAGCTCATTATTATCCAATAACCCAGACCCTGAGGTCATGGAAATAAGAGATGGTTGGTTTGGGTAAGCAGCTCCATTTTGTGCTGGTTTCCACTATACATTTTTATATATGGTGCACATATATTTCTACATAAATATATAGGTAAGTGTATGTATATTAATAATCACTATTTCTATTCCTGTGTTTTCTAGGAAATAACCCTTGACATTTATTTAATGATGCTTTGCTTTTTCTGAGCACCCACCACTACTGGTGACTCAGGCCATCACCAGTGGAGCTACAAAGCCCCCAGACTCAGCAGCTGCCTCCATCAGCGTTAGGCAGACGGCAGCAGGATCTTCAACGCCCACAGCTCAGCCTGTTCAGGCTTGAACTGCACTGAAAGGCAATAAAATTGCCCAATACAAAAGCCCTCCTTTGCTACCAGTGAAGGGAATAATCTCTTTTTGAGCAATATCAGTGCTGAACGACTCTGGAAAGCAAAATGCTGGGGAAACATTGTGATATTCAGATAATCTCCGTGGAAACTGCATTTACAGCAAAGGGTGTATTTTCAAAGTGTCATAGTGGGAATTTAATTCTATTTAAGATTAATAGGGGAGGCACACAATTAAACGGTCACACATTGCTTTGAAAACGTAATCCTCAGGAGGAAATCATTAATAAAGTGATACAACTGCTATGTTAAATTTATCACAAAAAGCAGACACTTTTCTATGCCTTCTTCAAAGTTAAATGTGACAAAGATTTGAAATGAGTTTGATTATGATGTATACAAGTCTCAGAACAAAGTACTCCAAAAACATACCAAGTGTTCCTTTATCAATGCAGACTTTAAAAAATCCTTTCATTATTACTGTATATCATCCGTCAAGAGATTTACTTTATTCTCTGTGAAACAGACCATAACGCACATTAGCGCAAAAAAATTACTACAAACAAAAACTATACCCAAAGTATATGATCACTTTGCACACAGTAAAAAATAAGGGAGTGTGAAAATGAGTTACTCCACAGCAGAAAGAGGGGGCGAACGCTACTTGCCAAGTTTGTTATAGCTGTATAGGAGAAAATCACTTCCTGGCAAAAGAAACAAAAGAAAGGACACAAACATGAAAGATTGCTTTTAAAGGACACTTGTTATATCATTTAAGGTCTGGGGTTTTGCGGGTATTTTCCCCCAATACGCAATTATGATCCAAACGCAATAGCTTGTTTCTACCTTGCTGAAACCAGCAAGAGTTTCACTGATGAGTAATTTAGGAGATCCAAGCGAATCCTCGCTTGGGCTTGAGTCACCATGGTTGCTCACTATGTGCTTATAATTTCAGACATCAAACTGAGCACCTCATTTTGACACCAGTGTGTTACTGACAGCTAGAGACCATCTCTCTCACCTCCCAAAGGGGGGCCTGGCAAACATTTGCAAAAGAAAATGGAGCTGAGAAACAATTAAATCGCACAAAAGAACGGATTTGAAACATATGAAAAAGAAAATATCCATCCAGTGAAAGGCCGCTCCCGTTATACAAAGCGTTACATCTCTGTAAGCAAGAACAGGAAAGGGAGACTTTTATGAGATTGCTTTGCGCAGTTTTGTTTGACACAAGGTTAGATTATAAAAATAAGGTGAACACAGGTTTTCAGATGAGCTTTAAAGTTGAA